AGCATTGTGCTGTACGGCAGCAACACAGCAGCAGCAGCAGCAGCAACAGCTCCAGTGCGGTGATGTACCGGCTGCAGGACGGCGTGAGTGGCGTTGCGACCGGCACTGAGAACGGGACGGAGGTAGTGGTTGTTGTTGGACGCGCCGATGCGAACGCCATCCGCGCGCTGCCTGGCCTGTGTGCTGATGCGAGCACGTGCCTTGTTGGGTATGAGAGCACGCTTGTGCGGGACATGGCAGGGAACGCGGTTGTGGCGCGAGGCGCGGCGGCGGGGACGCTGCTGGCGCCGGCGCAGTTTGTGGCGGACGATGTGGCGCCGGTGCTGGAGGGTGTTGGGCTCGACATGGATGCGGGCGTGCTTGAGCTGTCGTTCAGCGAGACGCTTGATGTGACGCGTGTTGTTGCGAGCCGGGTGATGCTGTACAGCGCGGAGTGTGGTGGTGGTGGTGGTGGTGGTGGTGGTGGTGGTGGGGATGTGCGGTACAATGTGAGCGGGGGTGTGGTGTATGGCGTGAGCGGGTTGGCTGGCGGATCTGCTGTGGCGTGGGCGCGGGTGTCTGCCGTTGTGCGGGTGAACCTGACGGAGGGGGACCTGAACGAGCTGCGTGCGCTGAGCGGGCTTGTGCGCGGCGTTGGCAGCACGTATGTTGGGCTGCGTGGCGGCGCTGTTATTGACATGAGCGGGAATGCTGTGGAGGGGACGGTGCCGTGCGGGGGCGGGCTTGTGCAGGCGACGGCGTATGTGCCGGATGCCACGCGGCCACGCCTGCAGGCCTTTGTGCTCGACATGGACAACCACCTCCTCCACCTCACCTTCTCAGAGACCATCAACGCATCCTCCTTTGACATGCGGGGGCTGTCGTTTGTTGGATACCCTTCCGTTGACCTGTCCACGTCAGCCATTGGATCGACGTCGTTGCTTGAGGCGCGTGTGAACTTGTCCGTCACGGCCGTGCGAGCGCTGGAGGTGTTGTACAATCTGTGCTCTGCACCGACACCAACATCTGGTTCGCCATGCGACCTGTCTGTGCAGGCCAACTTTGCCGAGGACGGCTTTGGCAACGCAATTGTGCCCGACGTCCTGACGGCAACCACGGTTGTGCTTGATGCGCGAGCTCCACGCGTGCTGTCGTTTGATCTTGACATGACGCAGCACCGGATGTTGCTGACCTTCTCTGAAGTGGTGATGCTTCCGTCCGTGAACACGAGTGCGGCTGTGCTTGTGAACGGCGCTGGCGTGGCCGTTCGTCTCAGCGCCGAAACGATTGTGTCGTCTTTGACCAATGCAACGACGATTGAGCTGAGCATTGGCGGCCGTGACTTAGAGCAGCTTGAGCTTGAGGCATTGCTTGCGGTGAGCGCGGCCACGACGCAGGTTGTGCTTGAGGCAGGCTTTGTGACCGACATGGCTGGCAACGCCCTCGCAGCGCGGCCTGCGGTTGGTGTGGGCGCGTTTGTGCCTGATCGCGTGCGCCCGCGGCTGTCGTCGTGGCGGCTCAACATGAACATTGGCATCCTGACGCTCGTCTTCAGTGAGATTGTGAACGCGTCAAGCCTCAACGTGCATGGCATCGGTCTGCAGGACAACCCGCTTGCGTATCGGGAGAACGGCGTGGCTCTTGCGGCGATGACGCTCAGTGGCGGGTCTGTGCTGTCCAGCAACAACCACACCATCCACGTGCTGCTGAATGCAGCCGACCTGAACCTGCTGAAGCGCCTTGATGGCGTGGCAACGCAGGTTGTGAACTCATACATCACGCTGACCAGCAGCACGGTGCGGGACATGGCTGGTAACAGCGTTGTTGCCATTGTGGATGGTGCTGCTGAGCGTGCGGCTGCGTTTGTGGAGGACACGACGTCCCCCGTCCTCACCGGGTTTGACTTGGAGCAGGACGTGGTTGGCTATCCGCTGCGGCTGCTGCTCCGCTTCTCCGAGACGGTTGATGTGACGACGTTTGACTTGACCAAGGTGGTCCTGCATGAGACGGCTGCTGGCGGCGGCGCGGGCCTGGAAGAGAAGCGCCTGACTGGTGGCAAGGCAGAGCCCATTGCGTAGTCGCAAGCGAGAAGATGCTCTGTGTGTGTGTGTGTGTGTGTGTGTGTGTGTGTGTGTTTGTGTGTGTCAAGGTGGATGAAGGAGCACTTTCCAAGGGAGGAGAGGTGGGGACAAAGGAGCGGGAGCAAAGGAACTGTGTTGATTCGAGTGTGCTTGTGACCTGATGCGATGGCGGTGGTTTGTTTTGACGGAACGCTGCTTGCAATCTCTCTCTCCTTGCAATGCATGCAATGGTTTTTATGGTTCTGACGATGTGGGGTGGGGTGGTGTGGCGTATGCCCATGTGCTTTGACAACTCTCTTCCTCCCTTCTTGTTCTTGGTTGCTTGCTTGCTTCTTGTATGTTCATTGTGTTTATTCCACCTTCTCTTTTGACACACGATGTTGGCCCATCCCGTGGTTGCCTGGGCCTCGTGTTTGAGTACATCTCACAACAGGTGATCGAAGGGAAGCAGACGGGGGGGGGGTGGGTTTGCCCATGTGGTGATGAAGCGGTGATGCTCTGATGAAGAGCAGATGACGAAGAAATAATAACAAAGTGGGGGAAGGAGAGCAAAGATCCGAGTTTGCATGTGGGTCGCCGCTACTTGTCGTTGACGGCCTGCTCCATGTCTGTCGTGATGGTCTCCAGCTGCGTGCATGGCCGGGAGAACAGAGATAGTGTTAGAACATGTGTAGTACAACCACGGTGTTGAGGGCATGTTTGGATATGGTCCGCTTCAAGCATCTCCGCTGCACTGTGACACAGGTGGCCTACCGATGTTTGTATTGACTCGAGGTGTTCCTGCGTTGTGTTGATGCTTTCAAAGGTGTGGAGGAATTTGGTGTCCAGGACAGCAAAGTTGCGGATTGCCTTGTTGAGGGTCTTTAGGTCGAGGAAGGGGGGGGGCGGCGTGTGTGCATGAGTGTCATGTGTTTGGTTTTGAGTGTGAGTGTGAGAGTGAGCGTGTGTTTGGTTGTGTGGTGAGTGTGAGTGAGTGTGTGTTTGGTTGTGTGGTGAGTGTGAGTGAGTGTGTGTTTGGTTGTGGTGAGTGTGGGTGTGAGTGTGAGTGAGTGTGAGTGAGTGCTTGGAGAAAGCAAGAGATGGTGCGAGATGGAGAGACGGCAGAGCTGCTTGTGGGGTGCTTGTAGTCGCAAACGTGTCAACCTCACATCTGAACCGGCGTGGCCTCTGGTCATGCCTCGCACCAGGTTGTCGACATCAGTCCATAACGACTCGATTTGTGCTCGTGCCTCCTTCTGCAAACAAGCGAGCAACACAAGCGGGTGAGGGGTGTGGTTTCAAAAACAACAGTGGCAGCAGCAGCATTGGTGGTGGTAGTGGTGATCGTCGTTAGACTCAGTGGAGTCCCTCCACGCAGCATCAGATCATCATCATCATCATCATCATCATCATCATCATCATCATCATCATCATCATCGTCATGTACCTGCGACAAGGCGACCGCGTCCATCTTGTTCAAGAAGTTGGGAAGAATTGTAGAAGATATGGTTTAATTTTCAGCATCCAACAGCCAAGGAAGAGGCAAAGGACGTCATGATGGTGGCTGGCGGTGGAGGTGTTGTGCGCGGTGCTGGCGGCGGGCCGTGGCCGTGGCCGTTTGTTTGGTTTGATGAGGAGTGGAAGCGGGCTGCGAATGGCCCTGTGATGGAGCGGATTCGCGCTGGAGACCGGCCGTGGGCCGAGGTGGCCGTGGTTGGACTTGTTGGGCTGCTGGTGCTGTACTTTATTGTGAAGCAAGTGGCGGAGTTTATGGCGCAGTTTGGCGAAGGCGGCAGCGACTTTGTGCACGGCACGGTTCCCATGCCCGGCAACGAGCACGGCAACGGACACGGCAATGGGCACGGCAACGGACACGGCAATGCCGTCGTCGGTGGGGAGGATGGTGCAGTGGTCTCCAGCGCGCGAACCAGCGTCTCCTCTGCGCCGTCCCTGGCATCTTCCTCTGACAGCCACAAGCTCAAGCAATCATGACCATACCCACAAGCACCATGTTTTTGCTGGTTTGTCCTTTGATACAGTTTATCTCCACGGTGAATAGGAGCTCGTTGTTGAGCCCTTGTTCAATGTGCTACATATTTGCTGATCTCAACAGCCTGTCTGCTTTCGCGCTTCATCCCCACACAAACACACACCTCTGGATTGGCAATCGTCTTGCTTGTTGTGCGCTGGTTGCTTGCTGCAGAATTTGTTACCGTGACTGCTCTCTTGGCCAAAGCCACCACATTAAATTACAAAGTAATCGAATCACACAAGAAGCAGAAGCAGCAGGTGACGATGCAGCTGCGAATGCCGTGCTGTCAACCACCGATGCGTGACAAGGACGCAAACGGAATCATGCACAGACACACAAGACACGCAGCATACGCAAACCAAAGCAGACACACACAAACACACGCACGCGCACATGCGAGCAGAGTATATGTACAAGCGATCCTGATGGCGTGTACAGCAAGTCGGCAACAAAGGGTGGCAGAAGCAAGCATCGGACACGTGCAAGCAATGGACAGCGGCAGGGAACAAAGACAAAGGCAAAGCAACCCAGATATATAATGATGATAAAGCAAGGAAGCGAGCATACAGGAGCCGAAGGTTTCAGATTCAAATAAGCATCAAGAGCTGAAAGCACAAAAGACAAGTAAGAGAGAGGGAGAGGGGGGGGGGAGCATGCAGTTATTCGAAAGCGCTGGAGAAAAAACCAATGTCCTCAACGTCAGGGAAGAGGTCATCGTGATTCGGTGTTGTTGTTGTTATTGTTGTTGTTGTTGTTGTTGTTGTTGTTGTTGTTGTTGTTGTTGTTGTTGCTTGGGGGAAAGTGGCAGCGACTTGAGCGCAGGCGCAGGTGAGTGTTCGCTGCAGACACCATCAGCAGCATCAGCAGCAGCAGCAGCATCAGCAGTCCACAACACCATCGGCAACAGCAGCACAAGCAACCTGTCATTAGCAACCTTCCTGTATTATTGGGCGGTGGAGGGCCGCATGTCATCTGTGACAAGCTTGCCGTTTGCCCACGTGCCTGCAATGACGCGTCCAGAGGGGAGGCGGAGGGTGCCTGCACCGTGCTGCTGGCCGCTGTGCCATTCGCCCGTAAATGTCATGCCGTTGGGCCATGTCTGCGTGCCCTGGCCGTGCTTCTTGTCGTTGAGCCAGTGGCCGTCATAGCGCGAGCCGCTTGGATATGTGACAGTGCACATGCCGTTGCGCTGGCCATCGCGGAATTCGCCCTGGCAGTGCAGGCCGGACTTCTCCTCAACGGTTGCGGTTCCATTGAGGTACCCGCTCTCCCACTCTCCCCTGAAGCACGCGCTGGCGGTGCGCAGGATGCCCTGGCCGTGGAAGAGGCCGTGGTGGAAGTTGCCCTCGTACTTGGAGCCATCGGGGAAGGTGATGGTGCCGTGCCCGTTCCTCTTCTCCTCGTCAAACTCGCCGTCGAAGACGGTGCCGTTGGGGAAGCATTCCAGCCCGCGACCCACGCGCTTGCCTTCCGGCGTGCAGTCTCCCACGAAGAAGTGGCCCTTCACCGCCGCGGGGCTGATGGGGGTCACTTGACCATCCACCACCTGAAACACACCCTGCGCCGTGGAGCCCACGTCCAGTCCAAACATGTACAGCTTAGGCGGCTCTGCAAGCACGTAGCATGGTGTTTGTGGTGTGCGCCAACATCAATACGAAACGTGGGTGAATGGAGGGAGTGGACAGTATCGGCGCAAGTTGTCAACGCGTGTGCACAAAGCATTGCATGAAGATGAAAAACGGTCGAGTTGGAGATAGAGTCAGTTGGAGAAAGTGAGCACAGGACAGTGACCTAAAGACACTGATGTCCAACCCTTCTTCTTCAAAACACATGTACGCACGCACAGACACAAACCTTGCACGGCAGGAGCGGCTGACTCTGCCCCCTTCTTCTTTCCTTTGCCTTTTGGCATCCTCGCTATTGTATGTGTGTGTGTGTGTGACGTGAAGAAGGGCCGTTGGTGCAGCCAAGGACAAGGGGGTTTGCCTAGCTTGAAATTCCTGCAGCTGGACTTGTTGTCCGGAGGCGCGCCGACCTGTGTGTGCGTGGGTGCGGGCAACAACACAACACTGCTGTTGTTGAGGGTTGGTGTCCGGGATGGATGGTCGTGTGCAGCTGAGCGAGGCAATCTTCACGTTTGAATAAATGCATTGGCAAGCACAGGCCATGCAGACACACACACACACATATGAGCAGACACACATGCGTCGACACACACACACACACACACACACATGCGCGCACATATGGATACGCGACATGCATACAGTGCATACGTCATGAGTTGTGGTTGGCAACAAGGGAAGCAAGTCATGTCACGGACATTGAGTTGGTTGGTCACCTTGTTGTTTGGGTGCTGGATCCTCGTCACGCAGTGCTGAGACTGAATTCAGTCGATGACGTGATTGTGTGTGTGTGTGTGTGTGTGTGTGTGTGTGTGTGTGTGTGTGTGTGTGTGTGTGTGTGTGTGTGTGTGTGTGTGTGTGTGTGTGTGTGTGTGTGTGTGCGTGTGCGTGTGCGTGTGTGTGTGTGTGTGTGTGTGTGTGTGTGTGTGTGTGTGTGTGTGTGTGTGTGTGTGT